ACACTAACACTATAATTGTTAGAGAATATTATCAACAAACACTAACACTATAATTGTTGGAGAATATTATCAACAAACACTAACACTATAATTGTTGGAAAATATTATTAACAAACATTAAAACTATAATTGTCGGAGAATATTATTAACAAACACTAACACTATAATTGTTGGAGAATATTATTAGCATACACTAATACTATAATTGTCAGAGAATATTATTAACAAACACTAACACTATAATTGTTGGAGAATATTATCAACAAACACTAACACTATAATTGTTGGAAAATATTATTAACAAACATTAAAACTATAATTGTCGGAGAATATTATTAACAAACACTAACACTATAATTGTTGGAGAATATTATTAGCATACACTAATACTATAATTGTTGGAGAATATTATTAACAAACACTAACACTATAATTGTTGGAGAATATTATTAACATACACTAATACTACAGTTGGAGAATATTATTAACAAACACTACCACTACAGTTGTTGGAGGATATTATTAACAAACACTAACACTATAATTGTCAGAGAATATTATTAACAAACACTAACACTATAATTGTTGGAGAATATTATTAACATACACTAATACTACAGTTGGAGAATATTATTAACAAACACTACCACTACAGTTGTTGGAGGATATTATTAACAAACACTAACAATATAATTGTCAGAGAATATTATTAACATGCACTAATACTACAGTTGTTGGAGAATATCATTAACAAACACTAACACTATAATTGTCGGAGAATATTATTAACAAACACTAATACTATAATTATTGGAGAATATTATTAACAAACACTAACACTGCAGTTTTTGGAGAATATTATTAACAAACACTAACACTACAATTGTTGGAGAATATTATTAACAAACACTAACACTATAATTGTCAGAGAGTATTATTAACAAACACTAACACTATAATTGTCAGAGAATATTATTAACATACACTAATACTACAGCTGTTGGAGAATATTATTAAAAAAACACTAAGACTATAATTGTCAGAGAATATTATTAACATACACTAACACTATAATTGTCAGAGAATATTATTAACAAACACTTAAACTATAATTGTTGGAGAATATTATTAACAAACACTAACACTATAATTGTTGGAGAATATTATTAACAAACACTAACACTATAATTGTTGGAGAATATTATTAACAAACACTAATACTACAGTTGGAGAATATTATTAACATACACTAATACTATAATTGTTGGAGAATATTATCAACAATTATAGTGTTAGTGTTTGTTTTAGTGTTTGTTAATAATATTCTCCTACTATAATTGTTGGAGAATATTATTAACATACACTAATACTATAATTGTTGGAGAATATTATCAACAAACACTAACACTATAATTGTTAGAGAATATTATTAACAAACATTAAAACTATAATTGTCGGAGAATATTATTAACAAACACTAACACTATAATTGTTGGAGAATATTATTAACAAACACTAATACTATAATTGTTAGAGAATATTATTAACAAACACTAATACTATAATTGTCAGAGAATATTATTAACAAACACTAATACTAATATACTGGGCTGAGGAGAGGATATTGGCTAAATAACATCGTTCTCTTTCTTCTTGTATATATATCAATATTCCTTTTTTGAGCTACAGTAGGATTTTTCTTTAGGTATACATTGTTTGAGCTACAGTAGGATTTTTCGTTAGGTATACATTGTTTGAACAACAGTAGGATTTTTCTTTAGGTATACAATGTTTGAACTACAGTAGGATTTTACGTTACGTATACATTGTTTGAACTACAGTAGGATTTTTCTTTAGGTATACATTGTTTGAACTACAGTAGGATTTTACGTTAGGTATACATTGTTTGAACAACAGTAGGATTTTTCTTTAGGTATACATTGTTTGAATTACAGTAGGATTTTACGTTAGGTATACATTGTTTGAACAACAATAGGATTTTTCTTTAGGTATACATTGTTTGAACTACGGTAGGATTTTTCGTTAGGTATACATTGTTTGAATTACAGTAGGATTTTACGTTACGTATACATTGTTTGAACTACAGTAGGATTTTTCATTAGGTATACATTGTTTGAATTACAGTAGGATTTTTCGTTAGGTATACATTGTTTGAACAACAGTAGGATTTTTCTTTAGGTATACATTGTTTGAACAACAGTAGGATTTTTCGTTAGGTATACATTGTTTGAACTACAGTAGGATTTTTCTTTAGGTATACATTGTTTGAGCTACGGTAGGATTTTATATTGTGTATTCACTAATACATTGTT